GCTACAACATACAAGACGTGATACATTCTTTCAGAAATATTAGATTAATTTGTAAGTTCGTGCGAATTTTTGTTTATTAGCATTTGTATATTAGTATTAGAGTATTAGTTCCATACACGCAGTTGAAATCATCTATATATATGCTTTGATAGCTGACATTTCAGAGTATATTATATGGCGTAAATGGTGATGTTTGAAGAAGTACACAGTTATCGTTGTTGCAGCTTGATAGTAGAAGACAGTAATGAGTTTTTTCGGTGCATTGTACTTTCTTATTTTTGTAAAAATTATTAGAGTTTGGATGGAATGTTTTACTTTATCCACCATATTCATGCGATATTGTCCCCTTCCGCGATTATCATATGTTTCGCTTATACAGAACTCCCTTGGCGACATAAACTTTGTTTCTTTAGATGATGTGGACAATCACATGGAATGTCGAAAAAGTATAAAAATTTTACGAGAGGAGAATTATCAAATTACGTAATAGATGGCAAAAAAGATTGTCAGACAGAATGACAAATATATTACTGATTACAATTGTTTTCAACATAAAGTAAGATGCATTTCAAATTTGTTTAAAAATCTGCACGAACTTATAAATTAAGGAAACAATAAAAATTATAAAGACAAAATAAACAACTAAATATCATACCCTTCTTCAGGAGCCAAAGCGATGTTATAAGGTGTTTTCGATTGTTCCTCGAAATAAAAGATCTTCTTCGTCTTTGTCGTTAAGCTATGTACCTCAACAGTTTTTTCTTCTATATTTGTCAAATACAAATTATTACCAATATAATCAAATGCCATTCCTCCTAATGATTTAATATTCATGGCTATGAGGTTCTCAATTTCGCCGCTAATCGGGTCGTAGCGAAAAATATCATCCGTAAAGGCATTGCTTGCGAGTATAGTACCTAAATAAGATTTAATTGCAATTGAAGTTTTAATACTCCCTTCTCTCCCTCATTCTCTCTCTTTTTTTGTGATATGTATTTTTTATGAAATATTGATGTCGTCGTACCGGACAGCGAATCATAAGTAATCGCGGTAATGTTTCTAAAGATAACGCTGCTTGTTATTTTTGGCTTGCCTAACAAATTATGGTAATAATTTACGATTGTACCATCCGCAACTATGATAATATGTTGGCTGTCTTCTGTGTCTAAAACAATAAATATGTTCGTCTAAAAATATAATAAGTTTTGGTATTAATATCGACTTTCATATTTTATGACCAGCATAAAAAGTCAGACGACGTAGAGACAGTCGTCACTAATACAATCACGCTATACTTTTTGTATTTCTTGTACAGAACTATGTACTGCTTTGTTCAGCAGAAAACTTAAGCACGCATGTATAGAAATCATTCTGCAAATTTTTTTCGATATATTTAAGCTGCTGAACTCAAAGACGAAGATAAGCAATGTTCTTCAAAATTTTTGTGTTTAGAGCATCCACAATTTTGCAAATATTATGCTAACTGACAGCTTAAGATTCTACATTTTAATTTTTCTTTTCGTTTTCGTTACATATTGAGCAATGACTATTTATTTTCGCATGAACTGTCATTGCGTAAAAGCATTTGTAATTCTATATATCCAATACGACGTAAACTTTGCAGAAAAATATTAGTGTATTATCGGTAATGTTTCTAATTTCAGCGTTCCTCTTAATGACGATCGCCTTTACGTTATCGACATTTTTGAAGCTCGTCATGCACTTTGGCATCTCCTTAAACATGTGTAAAATATATCCAAAATGTTCTGAAAATTTCTGATCTGTATCATAGATTCTTTTTAATAGATGTCTCAACAAATGTATACCTTGACAAGTATGTCCATCGGAGTTCAATTTTTTGTCCAGAGTACATGCACATGTATAGTTTTTATTTTTATTTAACAAACAGAGTTGCGAGCATGGATTCAAAAAACAATTGTTTTGAACCTAAAATTAAACTGAATAATAATGTAAATGTTTTTTTGCGATACCAATTTTATCGCAATGTGAAAGAAATAATACTTTAGATTTCATTGTGGGATGGTAGATTTGTATGTCGTTGCTTGCATCGTAATCACGATTCGTATCTAAAATTTCCTGATTACATCTGGAAAATGCATTGCAGTATTGTATTTTCTGGGTTTTATCAAAATCGGAATACGAATGATAATTAATTTTTACATTCCAGTATATCTTGTTTTCGAAAATTGCCAGGGACATTGCTTGAGAGTTTATTTCGCGCGATATAATCTGTATAAATAATTAAATTATAATTATAATTATGATTATAATTAAATTGTAAAAAATTAAATTACAAATATATATTAAATTTTTCTTAAAGTATAGTTTCACTCGAAAAGTGGAGTGACCATTGAATCACTCGAATTTGAGTGACTTTTCATGTATATAGAGTGCCTTCTGCATTCTGAATCGTCAAATGAATATTTTTATTCGAAATTAAACAATGAATTTTCTGTAGTTCACCTTACATTAAAAAAATATATTCGCTCTAATCGATTGAAATATATGATCATATGAAATTAAAGTTTAAGTTGAGAAGTTTAAGCTTGAGAATTCTAAGCTTGAATAAAACACTCACTTTTGCGATTTCAATTGGTAATAGTTTCATTATTGCCTGAAGTGAAAATATTGCCACTTTTCACTTGTTTTGAGTGAAATTCCATTCCAAGAAATTCGGAGGATATTTCCTTAATTCTTATTCACGTGTCGTAAATATCTCATAACTAAAAAAGTAACTAAAAACTTACTGACCTTTCGATCGGTGCCGTCTAATCGTATAGATTCAATTGTCATTAAACCAATATCCATCCAATACAATCGATTGTTTGGATAGTCGATGGTTAAACTCTTTGGATATTTTAACTTTTTAGTGATTAATAAAGTAATATCGTTGCCATCCATTCCTGCCATTGCTATGTACTGCTTATGGCTCGAATCGCACCAATACATTATTCTGTAAGTATTATTGTATATAAATTATATATATTCCATATTAAACTCAACCAATTTAAACAAAATAATTTTGATATTTGATTTGCTTGTATAATACACAATATATTATTGTATAATATATAATATAAGATATAATCAATATATTAATTTGTTTAATACGCGTGTCTGTAGATTAAGATTCTGAGAATATTAACGAAGTTTATAATTTTGTCGCTATGATTTCAAGATGAGGAACTAATTTATAATTATTTAAACTTATTATTTCTTCTACTTGTAGAAAACTCCTACAAGTAACTTCTATGTAACAATTTGCTGTTACGTTTTGTTGAAGTGAATCATTACTTTTACAGACTTTCAGAGATCTTTTGTGGTAATCTTAAGAAACAATGATAAATGGATCGGAAAAATTCGAATGTAAAATTGTTATTTATATAAGTAGATTTAATTTTAGTAAGATAAGATCATTATTTATACAACAAAATTTAAATTTTCATAATATATATAATATTTACCCATTGGTCGGTAATAAGGCAATCGCGGTAGGTTTTTTAGTTTTTCCATTGATTAATATAGTGCAATACGTCCCATTGTTGTCACATACTCCAATATTCATATTACCCTTATCCGTGAAATATATATTGCCTGTGATCCAATCCACGGCTATGTCCGACACTTCGTCCAAACCTTAGCGAAAAATATGCAGAAATTAAAAAAATATATAATAATATATAATAATAAGTTAAATTTGTAAATTGTAAACTACAGAAAGTAAAGAGATTCTATTTCAATTTCTGGCTGTAGTAATGCTTTTTCATAACATTATTTTGTAAAAAAACGGGAAGATACTCTAACGGAGGTTCCTAGTAAGTATTACGTTTTTTATTATAATAATAAAAGTATACGCTAATATAAGTAATAAAAATATTATTTCATTTATTATATTAATAAAAATTTAAATAAAATTTTTATTCGTTTTTTATTTGTTACCTTAATAAAAGTAGACTGGTTTCGCTTGAAGTGTAAAAACACGTTAAATTTATGCTATTGACGAGGTTTGGTTATGTTACTAGTTTGCGACTGTAGTAATCTTATATTGCTCATGGCGTATAAGCCACCAGAATTGAGGAAATTATTTTTGAAAAGTAATATGTTACTGTTAGTCGTCATCTATTGAAAAAGTAATTTTGTTATCACTATCTTTACTCAAGAATTAATATCTTACAATTTCCGTTACTTTTATCACTAAATTTTGCACATTTATTTTTAGAATTTGTTTTTTCCCAATCATTTTTTCTATATACATGTATTCAGTGTGTCTGAAGTAACGATGGAACTATCCACTATATTCATACCTGTTATCTAAAAAACATAATTGTGCTACCATTACTAATGAAAAAAAGTAACGTTATTAAATCGTTATTGAAATGAGTAACTTGTAAAGTCGCTTTATAAATAACACGTTATTTCCTAATTCTGTAAATTATGCACAGAAGCGACTTTCCTTTTATTTGGTTATTGTTTTATATTGTAAGAAAGTATAATATTTCCCGCGCGCGGTGTGATATAAATAAAAACATTATTTCCATCTCTCTGGTTCTCAATAATCGTAATAGAGAAATATTATTAATTACAGTATTATTACTTACCTAAGTTAATTACAGTATATTTACCTGTTATAAGGATATATTCTCTTTTTCCGTTTTTGGTAGCTTTCATTATTTTTTTATCCTTGGTTGACCAGTATATATATTCGTTGTCCATAGCAACCTGATTGATCTGATTTAAATCTTCCGCTACGATAAAGTTCGTTTGCGAATCGAGATATATACCACGAATTTTTTGTCCTTCACTGAATATCATTACGGCCTCATCACCTAAAGTGCAAAAGAAAGTTTTTGTATTTTCGTTATATGTATCTTTATTGTGGAACTGGTAAATTAATTTACCATCGGCTTTGCAAGTTTTCATGTCATCTTGCAACGTATAACCTGTCTGACAGATACATTTGTATGATCCTTCGGTATTCAAGCATTGTTGATCACAAATCTCGTCAATTTCGCACTCATCAATATCTGCATGAAAGGAGAGCAGCTTGTTAAGCAGACGAGCGGCGATTCTTACGATTTGTTGTATTGATTTGCCACGGATTTACCTGTACAGGTATGATTATCTTGTAATTTGTAACCTTGTGGACAAATGCAAACAGGTGCGTCAGGTGTAACGATACAATCGTGACTGCATCCCGCCAATGAACATGATATTGTATCTGATAGAAAAAAGATTATGATGATGTTATAACTAACCACTTAAAAATTATATTAGATGTACGTCAAAAACTTCAATATACGTAATAAATAAAATTTATTCGCTGAAATATACGACTTACTATTACAAGCGAAACCTTCGTCCGATCTATCAGTGCAATCGAATATGTTATTGCATACCAGATTAAGAGAAATACATTTCAAATTTGCACATTGATATCGATAATTTTCTGTTTTGCAGCCTATTGCGATGCCTGTAAATGTACAAAATATACTTCACAGAAATCAAACTTGCTATAATCTAATGTGCTAAAATAAGTCATAATATCCTTTGCTTATTATTATAAATTAAATTTTTTAAACACGAATTACAATTCAGTTCGTCGCTGCCATCGAGGCAATCCTTCATGCCATCGCAAACCCATTCTTTCGATATACAATATCCATTAGTACATCGGAATTGACCCTCGCATTTTAACTAATACGATAAACAAAATGCAAATTAATTTTTATACCAGACAAACATCACAATCATCAGTTCACGAATATAATAGTACACAGAAAATCAGTACAGCAAGTTTGTAATTACTTACGTCTTTTTCGCAACCTTTGTATTCATCGCTTTTGTCCATACAATCATAATATCCGTCGCAGAATCCATCTTTTGGTATGCAATTCTTATTTGTGCATTGAAAATAATTTTTAGAGCATGATTTTTTAGGCGGATACTGTTAAAAAATCACTTGATTATTTGTCTGAACAGTACAGACGTATGTATGACTTATGTAAAATGTAGATAACTGAATCTGTAGCTTTTGTTTTGAGATTTAGTCTTATGGGTATTTTAAGTTTACAAATTTCTTTCGTAAAGCTACCAGCTTAATAAAGAAATTTATAAACTTAAAATAAGCAAAGACTGAAAAATACTAATGTGAACTAATTTATATAAAATATTGCTCGGAATAACTTATATAAATGAGGTGATTTTAGAAGGCTATGCCTCCTTATTTCCCTTTATTATTCTAGTTCACCTGGCGGGCTACGCACAGACAGTCGCGGCGTTCAACCTCAGGATTGTTGACAAAGTTTGTAAGACATTTCCTAATATCTGAAAAGTTGTTATGAGCACAACTCTTTTACATATAATATTTTTATACGCTAGCAATATATATTTATATATTATTAAAATTACTAACCTAGATTTTCACGTCAG